CCCAAATATTCATGTGACTATGGTAAAAACTATCTGCAACGTGTCTGTCCATTTCACGTTCTGTAGTCTAACAGTACGTGTCATTTTCAACTACACCTTTAATCATGAGATTATCCTATGAGTACAGTATAGAGTCACTGAGTCAGAATTGAATGGATAGGGGTTTGTTTTGCATTCTTAGTGTGGTTGAGAGTATTCTAAAACATAATGTGGATCTTAAGTCTGTGTCCCTAACTTTCTCTACGTGTACATAACTCATTCGGAGTTTTCACTAGATTCCAACTAATAACAACTCTACACACAAGAGTAGAACTGCCCCAGAGGGTATCCAAAGCTGTAATTCTTTACAGAAGCAGACTATCACATCGCACACTTTGCAAAGAATGGCTGGTGCATTAGAAACACAGACCTTTAAGTTGGCAGCTGAACACTTCTACCATTTCACTCCTAGAGATACCTTGGACTAAATCAGTGATTCTCAACTGTGGTTCCTGAAACAGCAAACATCATTACCTGGAAAGTTGGTAGAAATGAAAATTAAGAGACCCTACCCCAGAACTTCTGAATAGGAAACTGTGGAGAAGGGGCCTGAAAATTTGTTTTAACCTCTAGAATTTTATACGTGGTCAAAATTTGAGAACCATTGGACTAGAAGATTCCTAAAATAGCCTCCAGACCTCAAAATCCGCCCATTACTGGATTAAATAGATGTTCCAGAATAGTACCACAATCAGTTAAGTGTAATTGTTGCTGTTAAGTGACATCAAGTCGGTCCTGACTCATAGAGACCCTATACAGTGTTACCAAGATGCACCTGGTGAGTTTTGAACTGCTGACCTTGCAGTCTAGCACATTATTGTACAGCACCACACCATGGTGCAGCACCACACCAGGACAGTATGAGTAAAATACTAGAATCAATATAATACCACAATATTATTTTGCTACATTTTCACAAAGACAAATTTCTATTAGCAAGCTTTTCCTAATTAAACAGATGTGACAAATGTTTGATATCATTTTAACAATGGTGATATACAAATGAAATATTTGTTTCTTTCATATTTTAAGAATTTATTCTAGACACTGTGAAAAATATATATTTTCATGAAACTTAAGGTTCAGGTATTTTACATCTAATTCTTAAGACCAGCTGCTATGTACTTACTTTCACTTTACTACCCCATCTGTAAGAAATATTGGAATATAACTCAAAATAGAGTACAAACACATGCTGGTGAAAATATTTATAAAAATACCTGAACATTCCAAATAGATGAAGCATTTAAGATTCTCACTTGCAGGAAATGTTTACTAATCAGGAAACATAAAGCATTATATGCTTTCTGAATTTGTAGCCAAATAGGTCTGATCTGAAAATGTGATCATTTCAGCAACTAACAACATGGAAATTGCTTTAGCTTAGGAATCAAAATTCTCAAGCACCAAATGTTAAAACGAAGATATGTTCTAATTGTCACAAAGGAGAAAAAAAAAAAAAAGAATCCTTTGTAATAACATAAAGCCTGGATGGCAGTCAGGGACCAAAAGGAAAAGCTGTTACAAAACAGCAGGAGTCAAGTTTAAAAGTCAGCTTTTGCTCACAAGATAAAAGTTACTTTTTCACCCAATTCTGTTTTGACAGGTGATTTGCTTTACAACAAACTCCTCCCTACCTCATTCACTTCCTGTAACACTTAGTTCAACTTTTTGCTTCAAACAAATGCTCTTATGTCTTCACATCATAAACTTAGAAGGGGTTCTTAGCAACAAACAGACAAGTTCTTCAAAGAGGTACATCCCGAATATCTCACAATGATGTCATTAAGCTAACATTGTTGTTGTTAAGTGCCGTCGAGTCGGTTCCGACCCATAGCGACCCTGAACAGGGTTTCCGAGGGTGTAAATCTTTACGGGAGTAGAAAGCCTCATCTTTCTCCCGCGGAGCAGCTGGTAGTTTCGAACCGCTGACCTTAAGGTTCGCAGCCCGATTCGTAACCACTACGCTACCAGAAGCTAACATAGAAGTCTACAAAACTCAGAACTACTATTCTCCTGCTCCAAGCACATATTCAAAATTACTTTCACTGAGAATCCAAAAAGCATTTATTTCACGTACTCAATTAAAGCATATTAAAATCTTCTGCTCTGCCAGCCCAGATCTATAAAGAATTTAGTCATGCAAGTGACTAAATTCTGTGCAAAGGTGATTAATGCATGCAGCAACCTATTTCATTTCCAATTTTCCATTTGCAAACATTCCATCAGGAGTATATACATTTCTTAAGTTAGATATTTGGCAGCATTTTGTTAAAAACCTTCCAAAATACAACGTAAGAAAGTCACTAAATGCCTTTAAAACAAAACCAAAGAAACCTTCAGAGTGCTTGAATTTTCAACACTAAGATCTAAAAGCAGCTACATTTACTCAGATACAAGAATGAATCCCCCAACCGATAAATTTGAGCAAATTTTCTTCATTGCTACATATGCAACACTGCTTTCCAATTGAGTCTGATATTAAATGAGATCAAGTTAAAAAAAAATATGGCTGTAGGACTTTCACAGGTAAAATTCTATATTCCTCAAGATCAAAATACTCAGCCTTAAAGGTATATGTTAGTAATGTATGTTAATGCAACTTTAAAGAAACTTGCTGGCTGTAATTTCTCTTGTCTCTGTCACAATGGAATACAGCTGCTTGTCAGAAGACCCTTCAAAAGATTTTATCTATACTTCACAGATTTAAGATACATCAAGTGCTTCTGTTATATTATGCAAAATACTCAGTTATTTTCTTTTACTCTACAGAGATTATGAGTACTGTGGATTAAAGTTCTCCTTAGGAAAAATAAAATAAAAAACAAAAAGCTCACACTGCCTCCTACTGTTAGAAGGAAAAACTTAAGAGGTCAAATACGTTTCACAAAATATACAGAATGTAGATCTTTCTTTTTTTTAAAATATAATGATGTAGTTCCAAATCAAACTCAAAAAAGCTGAGGCACCATGCACCATCTACAACTCATATATATGCACTGCATAAGTATTACGAGCTAGACATGACTTCATTTGAAAATTGGAAGCCATTTTCCCAAATCATGTTTCTGACTTGATGTATGACATAATTTCAACAAACCAGCGGCGGGGGAATTAAGAGTCTGACTCCATGGTACTTCACTACAGCAACCCTGCCAGATAGATGGTTACTTTCCCAGACCTCAGGCAATATCAGGCAATATTCCTTCCCCACCTTCAGTGAAATAAATTGTTCCATGTCAGCAATGATTCAATATACCTGCCCATTCTGTAGTCAGATGTTCTGGCCCTGTTCCCGGGCTACCTACAATTTGATGATTTTCTCTGTATTTTAGGAGTTGGGTGCACTGCCAGCCAACTTATCACTAAGATACTTTTGTCTTCAAATTTTGACCTCTTGGGGCCATCATACATCATCTCCCTCCAGCAGGATACTGTATCAAGTCACTGAATACCAAACAGAGAAACTCAAACAATAGCTTTGGGTTTGTTTCTTAAAAATGACATTTGTATTAAAAGTCTTAAAATGAAGAGACAACAATTAAATGCATGTCTGGAATGAAAAATTACAATTAGTTAGAATCCTCTTGGTACATCACAATAGTAAATTTTGCTCTTTGCTTCTGGAGGAACACTCTAGAACAGAAAACCAGTATAGGAAAAAAAAATTGTAAAATACAAAAGGACCTAATACCTGAAAAGTTGAACAAAATGAAGCACACACACAAAAAAAGAGGGGGGCGGGGAGAACTGCAAGGCATGAAAATTACATTTTAAAAGCTGAAAATAATAAAGAAATTCACGAACAACAGGATCTATTGTCCTAGTTCTATTCAGGAAGATTACTGAAAGGAAACTGGGAAGTGGGTTGGACACTATCAGATACTGGGTTATGGTGGGACGTTCACAGGTTGGCACCGGCTGAACAGCTGAGTTTTGAAGGCACTCTGCAGACACAGGGGTGCTGGGGGCCCTGAATCACATTTAGGAAGTCTTTGTACTGTATTTTAAAGAGCTAATCATCAAAATCTGTTACTGCTAAAATAAAAAAAAAAAAAAGCAAAAAAGAAACTAAAAAATAAAAAAGCACACACACACAACAGTACACAAAAATGTGCAGATCTGTAACATTTTTTTTTTCACAGCTGATTAAAAAAAAAAAAATACTACCATTCTCCCCCCAGACTCCCCTTTGATACAGTAGGTAAACAAAATAGATCTTTTTTTCCACAAATATCAGCAGACACTTTCTGGCAACCCACACTGTATTGGCATCAGTGTTAACAGTCCCAGTTCAGATGTGCAATACTTCGGATTGGATACACTGTAACAAGAATCCAACTTTGCATAGACATCCTCAGAATCACAATCAGTCACGGGATTGCCCTTCCAAGCTGGCAGAAAAGAAACCCGATCTTAATTTCCAGCTCCTCCTTGGAAAACAAGGAAAAACACTAAGTTTCTTCCTCTACTCCTGCTCCTTCATGTTTCTCCCGGACTTCCTTCCATGTATTTGAAAGTTGGAACTAGAAAACGGTTGTTGGCCACACACACAAAAAAAGACGTCCCTTTCCTTTTCTCCATTCTCCCCAATCCTCTTCCTCCACCCCACCCCATGTTTTTTCCAGGCTGGAACTTTTGCTTGTCGGTGTGAAGCTGCCAATACGGGGCCCTAAGGGCGATTTAAATGGGGAGCTATGCATCAACCAAATCAACAGAGAAACGTACATGCTGCAAGAGCTACATTTCCACCAGGGTCTCAGATGGTGAAAACGGGACACCTCTCGGTCACAGGAGGAGGCAGGGGACATCGGCCACGGGGGCCAGCCGAGTTCCCGGGACACCTCGGCCAATGCAAAGTCGTCTCCAATCTCAAAGCCAGAGAGAAATCACATTTAAAGACTCTGGACGTTTGGCTTTTGTGAGCAAAGCGCGGCCGTCTCGCGGCGACCGCGGGCGCCTCAGAGGATCACGCAGGCCGAGCAGCAACCCTCGTCGCCGTTGGGCTGCGCCGCGTAGTTCATCTGCCGCACGATCTCGGCAAACAGCTCGTCCACCGAGGCTTTGTTTTTGGCCGACGTCTCCATGAAGGGGCAGCTCCACTCCTCAGCCAGGGCCTTGCCCTCCCCATACGAGACCTCGCGCTCACCCTCCAAGTCCACCTTGTTGCCCACCAGGATCATGGGCACGCGCTCGTACCGCTTCACACGGATGATCTGGTCCCGCATGGGCTTGATATCCTGGAAGCTCTGCTGATTGACAAGGCTGTAGACAAGGATGAAGCCCTGGCCATTCTTGATATACAGGTCCCGCATGGACGCGAACTGCTCGGTGCCCGCAGTGTCTAGGATCTCCAGCACCGACGGGGACGAGTCCACCTCAATCTCCTTGCGGTAGAAGTCCTCGATGGTGGGGTCGTACTTCTCGATGAAGGAGCCCGTCACGAACTGCACCGTGAGCGCAGACTTGCCCACGCCGCCCGAGCCCAGCACCACCACTTTGTACTCTCTCATGGCTCCGTCGGCGCTCTCGCCGCGCCTGCCGCGGCCCCGTCGGGGCTGAGCGCCGGGGGAAGCTGGCTTGCCGGCGGCACTACTCCCCTTTTTCAGCTCCAAAGGAAAATCCTAGGAGAGGGTGGCCAAGAATCACAAGGCTCAGATATCACGAAGCTGCGGCCGGGTGCCGGGCCGGCCGGCCGGCGGCCACGACGCGTCCTTGGGGCGTGGGTCCGGGACCCCGCAGCAACCCTTGGCGGCAGCGGCAGCCCAGGCGGAGGACCGGGAGGACAATGCCAGCAGCCTGCGCGAGGCGACGGCTGGAACTCCTTGCCGCGGCAGCCCCGGAGGGCGGGGAGGCGGCGACAGCGGGCTGCGGAGGCGGCTGCTAATTGCGCGCCGGGCTGGGACGCGCGTGGCATGAGTCCCCGCGGAGCGTGCGCCCACCGCTGCGGCCCATCGCGCTCTCTCCCGCAGCCTCTGCGGGGCGAGGGCTTCCTACTCGCCGCGCGCAGCCCGGCCCGCCCCTTCTGGGCGAGCATGCCCAGTGCGCCGCCAATAGCGCCCGGTCCTCCACAACTCCGGGTTTTTCCAAGGCCGGGAGGGGCGGGGCCAGGGGGTGGGGCTCACAGTTTTAGTCTAGAGTGGGGACTTGGGGTGCCAGGCGTGCCTTAGCAACTACAGAAGTGTGTTGGGGGGCCTGGGTTTAGGAACATTTAGATGGGAAGACGGAAGTAACCTTGTTTTACGGCTCCGGGGTTCGTGCACAAAGCGGCGGCACTATGAGAAGCGAGTGGTCACAGCGGGCCGCCCCGGGAATGGGCTGGGTTCTTGCCGACTTCCATCCCCAAAGCGGGAGGATTTACACGCCACAAGCGGGTGATTGGTGGTTGCCTACCAAATTGGGGGTCGCGGAGTACAAGTGGTCGCAAGCGGAGACTCTCCTCTCACGGCACAGTTCTTTCTGAACCGTTCTTCTCAGAAACACTACTCTGCCCTTTCTAGAGAACATTTCCTTGGACAAAAAAACGGAAAACCTGGGCCTGGAACACAGAAGCGTCTCAAAACCACAACCCCAGTCCAGCTGGTATTCTGAGGACCTCGCCCACCGCATACCCCTCTCGGCTGTAAGCAAAACCCGGAGACTTGGATCCAGCACCAATCCATAAGTCAAGGCCGCACTCGCGGCTAGCCCGGGCATGCTCAGTCTGTAAAGCAGGTTTTTGGTCTTGGAAATAGGAAGCTTTTGCACCACACACCCACACTTCAGCTCGAATTACCTCTCCCAGACTTGGTCACCATTGGTTCTAGGGAACAAGTCTCACACCCCCATGTTTTTCTTCATTGGCTACCGCCAAGGTTTTTATCAGTTTGGGATGCTTCATTGGGTAAAAAGTAGCCCCTGTTTGTGATTGGCTGTTTATAGAGATTGAGTTGAGAGGCGGAGGCACAGCTGTTCTTTCTCCGCTGCTCCCCCCGCCTCCTTCCTCCCACTTCCCCAACCCAGTCGTTTGGAAGCATAGAGTGAAAAAATAAGAGGAATTTAGGCGGAGAGCTCAGAACTAAATATAGTCCTTTGTTGATGTTTTACAGAAAGTCTGTCTTCTCGTTCCCAGTCACGACTGTCCTTTTACTGTAGCAGAAAGGGCTGCTTACAATTCTTGGTCCACAAGAAACTGGACACACGGTTTAAAGTTTTATGATAGGAGGAGGAGGGGGCTGGGATGAAGAAATGGGCCACTTGGAATGCGTTTTACCGGAGGGGAGGGGATGGAGGAATGCCCGGGCTTGCCAGTTAAAAACCTCTTGGCTTTGGGGCGGGCAATCGCTAGACTTGGCTGGGCTCCCGCTCCCGGGAGGTGCGAGGTGCCCCGACTTGCTCCTAGCCTCCGTCGTTCCGGGCGAAGGAGAGACGTCGAGACCTGTTCCAAGACTGTGAGGGCTGCGTGAGCCCAGAGGGGAAGGGGGCGGGGAGAGGATGTGAAGCCCTGGCTAGCTCTGGGTCCTGCCGTTTTTTATCCGCTGCCACTTTTCACTACTTAAACCATCAGCATTGGAGGGATGAGCCAGGCGGTGCGCTTACACTCGGTTTCAGTTCCTAATCTATCCATGACTCATGGACACATTGCGATTTAACCACTTCCAAATCCTGGGCTGTAGCTCGTCTGCATCGGGCAGTCGTTGGATACAGGCCAGGCGGGACGTGGGCTGCAGCTGACGCCTCGGGTGGTGTGGGTGGTGCCGGTTTCCACCATCGCCTCCACCATTTATTGGAGAGGGGAGCTGAGCCTTGACTATCAAAGTACTTGGGTGTAATTATGCTTATATAATTATCCAGAAAAACCTCGATGTAAATTTGCTTTAGAAGACCAGAGAGAACCCCTGCAACATTTACCCAGCTGTTAAAATCTGCCAAGTGTTTTACATGTGCAATCTCATTTACTGGTCATAATATTGTTAAATGCCATGGAGTCACTTCCGATTCGTAGGGCTTCCAAAGAGTGGGTTTGAACAGGACTTTGCAGTTAACAGTCCAGTTGTTAAGTATCTGCAAGTGGGTTCCAACTAATAGGGACTGGGCTGTGTACCTCAAGGTCAGCAGTTCCAAACTACCAGCTGTTCCGCGGGAGAAAGATGAGGCTTTCTGCTCGCGTAAAGATTACAGTCTCGGAAACCCAGTACAGGGTCGCTATGAGTTGGAACCGACTCCACGGCACATAACAACAACAGGGTTTTGGAGGATGCAAATTGTTTCAGGAGCAGAAATTCTCATCTTTTTCCTGCAAACTGCCAACCTTGTGATTAGCAGTACAGTGCTTATCCTACAATGGCACAATTAGTATACCTATTTTAAAGATGAGAAAACGGAGGCTCTGAGGTATTCAGTAACTTGCTTGAGATTTCACAGCTAGTGAACATCTGATGAGCTGGTATGCTGTCTTTTTGGTTTAGAAAACCCGGTCTCAAATAACTAGGCAAGAAAGTTCCTGGATTTTCTTTTTTCTTAGGCTGAGCCTACGGCTAATATGATCACAAAGTTTAAACCAAAACACAAGGGACCTCTGCCCTGGGGAACTCTGGTCTCCCTCTGGCTACTCACATGGCCAAGATGATGATGTCCCATTTGGGAACAGCTTCTAGACAGTATTCCCAGTATATGTAAACTCTGGAATTACCTGTATAAATAGGGGCAACCCACTTTCTGAGCCTGCTTGGGCTTTTGTACTGACGCCCTGTGTCTATGAAATGGCTGTTCGTTGTACTTTGAGCAGGCCTTGGACCCATGTGCTCACATGTGACCTCACAGCACTTTGGGACGTTCTAGTGAAGGTGGAGTTCAGTAGGGTTCAGCTTTTCCTTTCCTGTCACCTTCCAGACTCAACCATGGAGGATCCAAGACTTCTTGTCACACTTGGCCTTCTAGGTCTTTGTGAAGAGCCACTTCTCAAGGGTGGAGTAGATTTTAACAGTTTGTTAGCTTTGTTTATAAATTAAATACTTAGACGAATGCTATGTGAACCTCCATTTGTACTTTTGCCCACAATTGGTAGGTGTGGTTCTGTGCATGATAATTAGAAAATACTTTGTCCTTGTAGGCCTGACTTCTAATCTTGCGTACTGTATATGAATTATAATTTCTAGGACCTTGGGTTTAGTTTCCCTATCCATAAAATAGCAATAATAAAATTTGCCCTACCCACTTAATGATACAGAAACATTGGAAGAGATCTAGTGACCAAATCCCTCATTTCACAGGATAGAGAACTGAGATATAAGTAGTAGATCGGATGTTGTTGTTGTGTGACATGGAGTAACACTATATAGGGTTTCTAAGGAGTGGCTGCTTGGTTCGAACCTCCGACCATGCGGTTGACAGTATAGTGCTTATCCTACAATGCCATACCAAGACTTCGGTAATTCAAGTTGTTGTTGTTATTGTTGTTAAGTGCCGTCGAGTCGATTCCAACCCATAGCGACCCTGTATAGGGTTTCCAAGGAGCAGCTGGTGAGCTTGAACCACTGACCTTGCAATTCAAATGGCTTTGCAGTCTGACGCATTAGCCCATAGCACTACACAATTCGTTGGAGAGACAAAATTTGAATGCTGGTATATTGACTGCCCTTTCTATGGTGCCAGACTATTCTCAGAGATCATCAACAGCCTATGAAATAAGGGATGAAATGTGCTTTGAAAGTTATGTTGTAATCTGCCATAAAGTTGCTGTTATTAAGTGCCTTCAAGTTGATTCCAACTCATAGCTATCCTACATAGGGTTTCTGAGAAGCGATTGATGAGTTTGAAATGCCAACTCTCTGTGGTTAATAGTCCAATATTTATTCCTTAACACCACATCAAGACTCCTGCTATAGTTGTTGTTAAGTGTCATTGAGTTGATTCTGACTCATAACAACCCTGTATAGGGTTTCCAAGGAGCAGCTGGTGGGTTTGAAATGCTGACCAGTGTAGGATAGCAGTCCAGTGCTTATCCTACTGTGCCACACCAGGACTGCTGCCTTAGAGTAGATCCAAAAAAATACTCCCCAGACTCAAGAAACCTGACAGCCCAATCTGGAAGAAACCATTCTCAAAACACCTAGTAGCCATGTGGATGGATATTGGTTAACCTTGGTGACCTCTCTGGTACCAGGAAGAGATCACAGTTTGGAAAAATAATATGATCTGTGCCTTAGAATTTCTAGTGAGAATTCTTCAATAGTAATTTATATTATACTCAGATGGTCTCCCACAGAAAGGTTTTCACTGGACTTTGAGATTCAGAATGCAGCATGGTAATTGCTGATTTCCAGATTTTTAAGGTTGGTCACTTTCTCTTAGGAAATGTGTTGGAGTTTGTATTTAGCCCTTCTTACAACACCAGTCATCCTCTGTCTACCTTGTACCATAAACGTGGCTATGTCTTGTCACCTGAAGCACTGTGTGAATTATTTGAGGTCAGGGTCCTTGTCTAGTTTCAGTTGTTCCACATAGCACCTATTACAGCGTCTTATGTAAGAGG